AAAAACAAGCCTGCAGAAATGTGAGTCTAGAAGAGAATTCAGGGTTGTCTTTTTCAGGTGCAGGAGAACCCCTGTTTTTCAAGAAGCATTTGTGCAGAACTTTGGCTGCAAAACACTGAGGGCACAGGMAGGGCATCCTTCCACTGAGCTGAGACAAGACAGAATTGCTACCAATTCTTATCATCACTGCTGCTGACCACTCAGTGTTTCCAAAGTTCCCACTTCCACTGAAGTCTGCTGGCACATTGACATATATTTGCTCTGTCCAAATGCTTATTTAATTTAAGCAGTTAATAACGTTAGTTATTGGGCTGGGTCTATTTTGATAAAATTTGGCTAGAGCTGATTTTATGGTTATCCTGGCACAATTAAAAAGCTGATAATCTCCATCTAAGAGAAGGGAGTGATGTGACAAGCATTTGAGACACGGTGGAGAAGATGGGTTCAGCACAACGGGAAGAGCCCATAGGACCAGAGTTTGAAGGAGTGAAATTCTTCTCTTTTTTTTCCCTTCTACAGGAATGTTCACACACTRTTTCTCATTTCAGCTCAGTATTGCAGGGAGCTTTATTTTGCTTACCTGTGTTAAAACTCCTTTGTTTGCAGTGGAGTTTCTCCAGATTAACAAGTGAGATCAAAATAATCAGGCAGCAAATCAATAGGTTCGCTAAGCTTAATAGAAAAGGTCCTTTATCTAGACACTCTGACTCCTTTTCCAATAAAAGCCTATTAAAATGATACTAACATTAGCAGTGTGGGAAATCACTTGTGCATACAGGTTGATGAAATGAAGCATATGGTGTGTCTCGACTTGCCATTTTCAGTTCTGCCGGGAATATCGTCATTAACCAACCATCAAGTCTCAGTACCAAGCCTGTAAAATGATTGGCATTTATAAAGGTAAATATTGCACAGTGACTGTTCAAATGCTTCTTCTGTTTCAAGAGTTATTGCAGCTGCTGCAGACAGTGATGTGTTGCCAGCACTGACACAGAAGAGTGCTGAATAAAGTCAAACTGGGTCATAGATTCAAAGAAAATGCTTAAAACACAGGCCCCAGGAAAAAAAAAAAAAAAAAAAAAAAAAAAACATTTGAAGAAAATCTGAAAAGAAGTTAAGAAAAAAACAAACTTTAAATATTCTGAAAGGTTTGCTGGAATGATTGTTATAAAGGAATTTTTTCAGTTGCTTGCCAAGAAATATGAAAAGTGCCAGTTCTGGTTTTGTTGGGGCAGCTCTTCTGGGTCACAGAGGATGTAAGGCTCCACCACTGTCAATCTCAGCTGCTCAGTCTTTGAGAATATCTTTCTTTCTCCAGGCAAYGTTGATTAAGAAAATTTAGTGGGCTGTACATACACACAAATTGCTTTAATGCTATTCTGAGAAAATTCAATATCAACTCTGATGAATTAGACAATACTTATTGTTATCAATATTTAAGGTGACTTTTCTCCGTTCAAACCTAATTTGCCAGTAGTAACTAAAAAACAATTAACATTTTTTTCCCTAGGGGAAAATGATAAAGATAAATTTCATATTCTATAGGGGTTTTTTTATCTTCTGTGTGTTTTYTTCCTCTTTCTCTTCTTGTAGAAGAATTAATCCTCCAGCAATTTAAAAGGTTCCCCATTTGTAACTCAAATAAAGATAGAGTACCATGTGACATGCAAGACCTGTCAACAACTCTAGTATTTAGAAAATTTTATGYTTAATCCATGGTTTCAGATGAGTCTACAAAATTATTAGCTAAATTATTAATAATAATAATTGRATTTCATAAAATTAGAATTAAATATATGCCATAATCTGTTTGCAGACAGCTTGAGAGGAGAAAAGTGAATTAAATGTAGCAAATAAATTATCTCCAGCCAATTGTTCTTAGCTCTAACAATTATATGTATATGTAATGCTCTTTCTCTGTTCYTTTTTGGTCTCTTGACTACAATAAAGTTCATTACACTATGTAGATTTTCAAATGTACACATAAAGAGAAAATATAATCTTGTTTGTGAAGTGAGTTTACCCCAGTTGACACAATTTCTGGACTACTTAATGGTTTCTTAACTTGCAGTTTATTAGATATCTGATTAGTCTGTAGATTTGACCATGGATTTCTGAGATTTTACATGCTCTAAAGTGAGCTTAACATGGCACACTGATAAATGATWGTGTGTCTAACACAAACCAAACATCAGAGTTTTCACAAATGTTTATTCCATCAAAATATACTTCTTTTCAGAGGAAGAAGGATTTAGAAAACCTTCTGTGTATTAACTATATATACAAACTTGCTGTTATCTGTGGCTGGATCCTCCAGGTTATAGCTAACCCATAATAAGTGCTGCCCCTGATATATTAAGTCATGAAGTTAATAAGTACTAAGGGTTTGTTAACCCCAAACTTACTGCAAGTAAACCAAACAAACCTGGAGATGGCACAAGTCTAGAAGGCAGCAGAGTATTATCTGTTTTCCTAACTCTCCTTTCTAAGAGCAGATCACTGACAACAGATTTTTTTTTGGAGATKCTGATGATCATGCCACTAAATTAGTCATTCTCTGGAAAACTCTTTTCTCTTAAAAAGAAATTGTTCTAACAAGTATCTGAMAAGACYTCTCTCATGTGTTTCYGATAAAATATTGKATTCTGMTTGTTTTGGATGGGRTAGAAYTARTTTCCWCCACAGTGGCTGGTGTGGGGCTGTGTTTGGGATTTGTGCTGAACACAGTGGTGATGATAATACAGAGATRTTTTTGTTATYRCTCAGCAGGGCTTGCACAGAGCCRAGGTCTTTTCTGCTTTTGGYKCTGCCGCTCGGGAGGAGGCTGGGGGTRCATGGGAGGGTGGGAGGAGACACWGCCAGGATAAGTGACCCAAGTGACCAAAGGGATATTCCAGATCATGTGGCATCATGTTCAGATAGAGGTAAGAAGGACGAAGGGGAGACATTTGGAGTGATGACGTTTTTCTTCCCAAGTCACCATTACAAATGCTGCAACYCKGCTCTCCTGGGRATGGCTGAACACYACCATGCATTATTATAAACATAATCATTTACAAGAACTAGAAGCAATTTTAATTCAAATTTTCACATTTTGTGAATTTAAAATGTTTTATTACTTACAGACATAGGTGTCTGTATGTTTCTTACTTCAGTCAGTTTTTCAGTCATCTCCTAAGTGTGTGTATTTTTAATACATTTTATTAAAAAAGTGTAACAAATACATTTTATTCTGGCACGATGATATAACTACTAATTCAATTAAAGCTGGAATAAAGGAGCGATCAAATTAATATCACACTTAAGGAAAATTAAGAGCTCAAATTAATGGTATTCAATCATCAAATTAGCCCAACAGGTAATATAATAAAATGGTAGTGTTGACACTAAACTTGAATTCTTTGATTTAGCTAAGGAAAACATGAAGAGGAGCCTCCTTTCCTGCAGTTCTGCATTCCACCTGGAGTTTCATCTGTTCCCATGTATTTGCTCTGCTGCTAAATTCACTAAGCAGCCGATAACCTTGACTCCTTGTAATGAGGTATAGCTRTTTGAGTTCTCTTGCACATTTTTTCCTCAAAATCATTGTCTCATTTTTCCATTTCACATGCTAATTTAGGAGTGATAATGCAGATGTGATGATTAGATGGTGCATTGTAGCAGTTTTTGACTAACATGACCTTTCAGTCTAGAAGACATGAAGTAATTCAGTGACAGCTTAGTTGTTATTTTTAGGGGATTCTTAAAGTTGTACACAAACAAACTTTCATATTCACATATACACATAAAAATGAAAAAAAAAAAGTTGAAGAAMAAATTTTAAATTTTTCTGCTTCTGCGGATTCTTTTTTAAAATGGATGGTCTTATATTATCTGAAATTTTAAGCTCAATGTTTGATCTTATGTTGTGTCTTATTAAGGTGCAAACTGGTAAGGCTCGTGACATAAATCTTTCATCAGCTCTTCTGCTGTAAAACCTGTCCAGGAAAGGAACTGACTGGTGGAGCAATAGAAACTGCTGTTTTCTGTTTCATCTCTGAGTAAACCTGGAAGGGTTGCTGCCCTCTTGCTCTGGCAGAGCAACTTCAATGTGAATTATGTTGGAAAGACTTTTCAGGACTCAAGTGTTTTCATCATTATTGCTAGTTAGTCCCTTCAAAAACATATTTTTGTCTTTAAATCATACTGGAAATTTCATTATAAATAACACCAGATTTTAACAGTTATCAACCCAAATGGAAATGAGATGATTATTCATAAATCTATACAGCAAAAATTGTGAAAAGTCTCTGTGCAAAGAATTTAATCTCCGTTTTTCAGCTGAGGAAACAGGAAATAGGTRCAAGAACCACAAAGAACCCAAAAATGCATATTATGAAAGTGTTTAATGTCTGATCTATCAGAATTTTCTTTAGGAACATTTCTTCAGTGTTCTAAACATTGTAAAAGTAGCATGGCCTTTTTACCTGATAGAGAATAGCAGAACTTTCAACAAAGCTTTCAGTCTTTTCCTAATTTCAATTACTTATATTAAAACTAATCCTACAAGTTAATCCAAATACGTAACCAAATTTTTCATTCTTTTTTAAGAGATTCCTTCTGTGATGCTCATTTCTGCCCTTCTTGTTCCCTATATTCCATCTCTCAAATGGTAGCCCTTGGGKTGTATTTTGTTGGGAGTAAGATGTGTTTAAAATATTATCCCTCTAGATCATTAAACATCAGTTTTGGGAAGAAAGATCCTTCACAAAGTGAGCATAAGCAACTGATAGATCTGTGTGGGCAAAGAGGTAGTTTAGCTCTAAACTGCAGAACTACAAAGGGAATAAATACTTCTTAATGCAAGCATTTAGCATGTTTAAACTCATCATCTTTGGTTCTGTTGGTATTTGAAATAAAAAAAAATCTTGAKTTTCTTCTCACTTTCATATTTCAAAATGCACTGATATTTTAGTTACACAGTTCTGTTTCTATATGCTTTTTGATTCTGAATTTTTCAGGTGGATATTTTTCAAGTGGAAGCAGCAGATATCATTATTCTGCAAAGGATGGTTGTTGAAAAAGGGAGAGGCTCTGACTGCCTTCTGGAGATTATTGTGAAGGAACCAGCATCTTCAGGGACAGAAATTGTTTGTGGCTCAAACATGGCTTCAAGACAGATGTGATGGAAAAAGATCTGCCTCAGTAACTCTGGATGCTGCAGGTCAATGCTATCTTCAAACTACCATCTGATAAGAAATTCATTCCAAACTGGAGAATGCAGCTGTATGATTTCCTTCTACAAACAAATAATGGGTTAAAATATTCCAATAGAACATTGTCATTATATAGGGAAATAGTGTGTCTGAACATTTTGTGTTTTAGTACCAGTTAATAATCACTATTTACCAGAAGATAACTTCTGCTTTGTTACTCCAGATTTTCAGTGGTGTCAATGGCAACAAATTTGTCCTATTCCTTTTTACAAATTCCTGCCTCTCCAAGTCTTACTTCAACATTTGCAAACTATTTTTAAAGCTTCTAATACCTCTGCCAATTATTTGCTAGGTAGAGTGAAAAATGAGATAAAAAGTAGGGAAAACTCTTTTTAAAAACAGCAGAGAAAATGTTGCCATTGTGCTCAAAGGAGTGATTTACATTATTCATGCTACACTGTTCGGGCAGCTTTTTCCAGAAGCAGGAGATACTTTTGACTGACACCGTGTGAGTAATCAGGGCACAGAGGAGCAGTTCTGACCCCGCTGCCTGTGGCTCTTTGCCAAGACAGGAAGGAAATGCCCACATCCCCTCCCTGTGCCATGGTTTCGATATGAGCATGGATTTCAGTCCAATCTGCTGTGCAAGCTGGGAGGAACCACAGCACACTCCAACCACATCACTAGGAACCAAAGCCCAGTATGTAYCTCTAAGACAGATGTATTTATTCTCCTGCCTCTCAGAGAGGTKAACTGTCAGTATAGATGAGTCCTTGGATTACAGAACATGGTTTAGTTTTTTTCTTCGCAGCTTCCAGGGCATGCGCTGGCACTTGTCCAGCAATAGCCTCTTGAGACTGAAGAATACTCCAGTTCAATCCATTTCCTCTGCTTTATCATCCCTAACTTTTGATCATTTGAAACCAGAAGGAAAAGGAGGAAACTGTTATTGTGCAAAAGCAAATAATTTCAGCTTTGGTTTAGTTTGTATGTTGGGACTTTTCTGAAAAAAATAATAATATTTAGTTCTGTTTCTACCAGACTTCATTGATTTGGACAAACGTTCCTTTGAGTTTCTTTATACAATAATTGATAAGTCAAAATTTGTGTATGAACTCAGAAGAAGGATTCCTATTTTTTGGTTCAGGTCATTACCTAATGTTTACAAGCAGTTTTGATCTATACCAAATCCTGATGAAATCAATGGGGGCTAATATTTGTGGGAAGAATATCAGCCCTAGAATGGATATTAAAGACATCTAATTAATGTTCATTAGTCCAGAGCATAAATCGTAGAAATGAAACAGAAATGCTTTAAAATGAAAAATACTTGACTCTTCATGTTACAATCATTTCCTAGTAAAGAGGTAGCCCGAGAGTCAGTTCATTTAATAGGATGATGTTTCAGAGAAGATGCTTAAATAGAAAATCACTTTGTATACTTCTTAATTAAATCTTTAATCTAAATTATATARTACCCAGTCAACTGCCTCACTGGATATGAATACAAACCTTTATTATCATATAGACACTGTTCCACAAAATTATTAATTTGATCTTTTTTTTTTTTTTAATTGGAAATCTCAAGGGAGGAGGAGTACACCTGCCTGGCCTTTAGGAAGAGAGCAAATGAATTCAGGTATAGCTTCTGTTATTACACTGACTGTTTTATTAATCAGTTCTGAAATAATAATGTGAGAATATTTTCATCACAATAGGTCATTACACTTACTAGTACTGAGAGTAGTTTCYCCTTTGAAATAATAAAAAATGGCAATAAATTTAGGGAGCTGACCAATACCCAGGTGACATGCTTATAAAATAACATTCTTCATGTAGACCAAGGCATTCATACAAATTTTATATCAGATAGCTTTGTTAATATATGTAAACAGAAAAATCCTTAATATTTTTTCCTTTTTATTTCCTTATTTTATTTGTTCAGAAGGCAGATGGAGGATTTATTTCACAAAACATCAAGAAAAAACAAAACCAGAATTTGAAAAGTTGTCAGAAAATATATCCAAGATGGTTATGGTTTTTTATGGAAGCAACAGCAAGTCAGATCCAGTTTCCATGGAAAACAAAGCTGAACATCAGACTGAGAACCAAATAACATATGATGTAAAATGATATTTAGATTTGCCTATATTTAAATTTTCTTTGAGTTTCTTTTGAAGAGCTATAAGCATGTAGTGCTGTAAATATTGGAGGTATTATTGTTTAAATATTCAAGAAAATCAGAACTGAATTTTTCAATTGCATGCCAGATTTAATTTTTAATTTCTGGCTTTCTCAAATTCATGATGATTAAGCATATTATTTTTTCCCCCAACAAATAGTCATAGTTAATAATGCATATMATTTTAAATGGCATTAACATTACTTATTCACATTAGAAATCACTGTCTTATGTAATTTGAATTTGATAGAACAATTACAATGAATACCCCTAGAGCATAAAGTTAAAATGTCTTTAAGTGCCCRCAGTCAACCTGGTTCTGCTGCTTTGGAGCTCAATGGGACTTTTAGCACCAAGACTGATGYAAATGGGTCCAGGATTCTGCTGACCCCTTAAGGGCAAACTTCCTCTCTTCCTGGAATCTGCCTATGCATTTATCTGTATATCTCTGGACACTAACTCATTGTCTTGTTGATTTCTAGGTGCATTTACCATCTGATTTGGGAATGCTTTATAAAGTGAGACTTGGTCTCCAGAGCTTGGAAAACATATCCCAGTTGTCTCGTTGTCACTTTGAAATACAGAACACATCAACCCTGGATACCGTTAGTCTCGCCATAAATAAAACACTTCCTCTTTCTCCTAATGGAGACAGATGGATTGAATTCCCTACATGATGGCCATTAAAAGAAGCACTTTCTGGTAGGTATAAATCTACTTGAAAACAGCAGAGTGGTTCAGGAGGTTAACATGTCTTAATATTACAATAGAAACTTTTATCGAAACAGAAGTTTTTACTGTCTTTGTTTAATGATTCATAAAGACTGGGTAAGAATTTAAAATGTATAAAGGAAAATACTACCCACTCAACTTAATTTTTATACCATAGTGGGAAATGCAATATTCATTTGATTGCACAGAAACATGATTATATGTTACAAAGAACAGTTTATAAGAAATATACTTTTCTTGCAATATTGTAATATTTCTTTTCTCTTTTGTTTAGCCCTCAGCTGCTCATATTACTGACATTAACAACATGATTTTTTATAGCTCATTTATTATTAAGTGATTTTGTTGTTTGTTTTCACATCCAAACAAATATTCTCAGTAAATAACAGCTCAAAACTGCATATAAGCTTTGGCTTTATTACCTTTATGCACTCCAATATTTATGCCTCCTAAAATTAGTTCAACAATTCTTACATTTGTCACCTTGGTTAAGTAAAATAAAAGAAATCCTCTCACCTAAAATTTACCCTATTCTCTAATGTGATGCCTACTGAATGCTGCCATATGATGGAGCAAATATTAACTTAATTAACAGACCAAATAATGATTCTTAATATTAAAATAATTTGTGCCTGGATTTTCTGTGGAAAACAAATTAATTAATTGTGTAAAAAATAAGTCAGCTCATCTAAAGTGAGCTGTAGTAGATGTAAAATGAACCACCTCAACACACTTTGAATTGGAACTTACAGCCCAGTTTCAGTGGGGTGTTTGAATGAAATCAAGAGATAAAAAAATCACAGACAAGAAACAGATATTATATTACCTATATGTTTAGGTAAAAGAACAAATAAATGAAATAGTTGATTTCTGTGATTTTTATTTCTTTKCACCCATGCTTTAGATGTCTTCACRGATGGATTTGTAACCACAGTGAGGAAAAAAAACTAGGACAGCAATTCCCCCAAATCTTTGCCATTTATGTCCAAGAGAGCTTTAAGCAGCTCCACAGCAGGTGGTACATRTGAAGTTCAAAGTGATCTTTACACACATGAGCTTACTTGCAATTTATTGTGAAAAACAGATATGCTTTTTTGACAGCTAAATTACTTTATTTTCTCCCTTTTCTCAGCTAAAAGCAAAACCAATATTGTATWAATTGGAATAGAAAGCAGCTAATCACACTCAACATAACCAGAAGCCATGTGACGATAAATTTCAGATACAGCTCTGTCATTCATAGAGTGCCTTAGCATTTTATCTCAGTTATATTTTCCTTTTTAAAAAATATTTCTGCTTGGGATTGTGATGAAGCATATGCTAATGGCTAATTGGAGCCATCAAAATGCAGTTGATAGAATACAGACCCTTGAGATCTGGCAGTGCACACACGTGCCTTTGGGTGTATTCATGAGCAGAGGCCTCCAGCTGAGTATCTACATAAATAGTTTCCTTTTACTGTAGCTTCCTTTGAGATGCTYAAACCTCAGGAATCCCCAGGGATGACATGGTGCTGTCTCTCTCCTCTCACACGCAGGGCTGCTCATAAGGTCAATTTTGCACTGCTGTAGTTTTTAAGGCAAAACAATTAAATATTGAAAAAGTGAAATAAAAAAAAGTATGATGCCGCTTTCAAACTGATTATTTCCACAAATTCAGCAGAGAGCTGCAATTCACATTGATATTATGAAATAATTTAAATTTTATAATATCAATGGAGTTGTCACATTCAGACATGTTACCCTTATTGTATGTAATTTCTTGTCAGAAATTTCTTTAATCTTTTCCCTTTCCATAGTACACAAGAGAGATAAAAACTGTTGCTACACTCATCCTATGATTTCCTGATTGCACTATCTGAGCAAAAACCACCATTTAAGCACTTTAACCCTCTACCCTTGCCTACATTAATCTCCCWTCTCTGTACAATGGACTCTCCCAGTGCTGTCCACTGTAGGATCTGATCCAAAGTTCATGAACACAACCTGTACTTTACACCAGCGTGTCAGGGCCATGATGAGTTAACAGATTTAATTTGGTTTGGCTGGACTCAYCTGTAACCTCCAGCCATGAAGGGCAGAGGATGTCCAGGTCAGATCTTGCCTGAGCTACATCAGATGTGCATCTTTCTCTAGCTCTCTCTCTGCCCCCTCTTCTGCACAGTCCTCGGACTTCTGTTGTAGCCTTATTTTCATTACTTCCCTGGCCCTTTCTGCTTCTGCAAAATTAAGGAAAAAAATCACAAAAAAAAAAAAAAAAAAAGAACTTTGCTATTATTTTCAAGTGCTTGAATTTTCAATTACATCTGGCTGTACAATGCCATGTTGTCAAATGACTGTGCAAGGTTGTGGGACAGTCTCAACAAGATCTGTCTTTACTTGATCTTGCAGTGGTTACATATAGTTTAACAGTAATTTTGGGAAATATTTTGAATGAGAGAAATTTAGTGCATATGACTGCACGTATGTATGGTAGTCATGGTGACATAGGGGACAGATCCCTTCTCCTGTCATTGCAGAATGTCCAGTAGGGAGAGAAAAATGAGGTATTATGTCTTAAAATACTTTAAAATTTACCTTTTAATCCATTCTTTTATTTCCTGTAAATTATTTTCAAATTTTCCTCTGCAGTTAAATAACATAGTTTACATAGTTTGAGAATACAATACTGAATGATTTTATTTTAGTCATTTCTAGTTATCATGGATGCTGTTGACTTGGGAGAATTGAAAAAAAATTGTAATTTCGATCAGCAGTAAAATAGGTAAAATACTTTTTACTTTCTAAAGTCAGGTATGTAAATCCCACAGATAGCCTCCTGWTAAAGGCAATGAAATAACTGCCAGAGTTAAATCCTAATTAAWTCCTTTTGTCTATTTTTGCTAAAGGGTAATATTTAATGAAGCAAAATCCTACATTTTGACATATTAAAATCCTCAGATCCAAAGGTTATAACATTATTGCATCAAGAAAGTAAACTATTCTTTTGCATACAAGAAAAAAAGAAGAGAAAATGAAGATGAATAATTATATCCTGTGCTTAATACATGTTCTACCAATAAGTTATCTAGRAGAATAATTACAGCTTGAGTAAGAAATTTGTATTGTTTAATTTTCCACCTGTGATTCAATTATTTTCACTGTTTTCCCCACCTATTCTGTTTTCTCCCTTTGACATTCAGAGGGAGATTTTACCTTTGGTAGTCAGCAAAATTTGTCACTGGACATCCTTAAAATTGTCTTGACCTCAACATCTCTTTGAGTCACCTTTAGGATGGTTATTATGCTATTAATTCGAAGAATTAATCAAAAAGTTTTTTGAAGTCCATTAATGAAATTTGGTCTATAACTGCAAATCATTACTATGTATTACACTTGACCATTTTCAGACCATTTTCAGGGAGACAAGGGTTTTATGTTCGCACTTGATCTGTCTTTTTTTTTTTTTTTTTTTTTGCCCATCTTTAGGCTCTTCATAAAAAACCTTTTAGACATGGCACCCAATTTTAACCAAGTATATAAGGTGACATTTGCACAGTCAGCACATGCATACTTTTAGGATGGTCCACACATCCTGCAGCCCAGCACAGGCTGCCTTGTCACTCCCAAGGATGTGTGGAGCTGCAGTTACTGTAGAGAAGCAGGGAAGGAGAGGGAAGGAGAGGGACAGCCCTGCCGTGCTGCTGTGGGAAGCAAGGCTTGTAACTCACTCACTGCTTTTGTTTCCCRCAGCTTCAGTTGTGAAAGTTAACTACAGCCATCTGTCTGACTGACAATCCCTGAGTGWGGCAATTGTGTGTTGCCAAAGGGCACCRCGGAGAGCATRACAGGCAAGACTTTTCCATTCAGGTTTGAAAACACAGTTCACAAAAGAGGGATATTGGGCTCATTGCCTCTCCTATGCTATGAAGGGAGGATTGGGCCTTATAATAGATATTTCTTCCAAAGGAGTTACTTAGGTCATAAAACACTTCASATGAGTAAGGGTGTCCATATTGTAAATAGATTTGTTTGAGATGAGACTAGTTTGGACCAAGGCTTTGAACCAAAAATCCCAAACCCCACAAAATGTCTTTAATACTTGAAGTCAGATGAACCCTGCAGGACTGACGAGCTCAGGCAGTGTTCCCTAGTGCATTTATGGTTTCATTCCATATCAGAGCAAGTTTTAAGATCAGATGGTTCAAGGTCCCTTCCTGAACCTTGTGACTGTCTCCATGCACTATCTTGTCCAGTTGTGAGTATAACACAATGTCCTGGATTCCCCCACAGAAGCCTGATTATCTGCTATTGATGTAATTAAAAGGACTTGAACAGTAGTGGAAGAGGGGGAATGTGGCTTGTTGAACAGGGCTGAAGCARCAAATAATAGAAGGGAAAATGAAGAGTCTTCATGACAAGCTAGTGGCAAGAGATTCAGGCCATGGAGCTGAAACCCTCAGCAGAAAGYCCAAAAGGCTCTGTAAATCAGAGAACAATCTTCCCCAAACAGCAAAGGAGTACAGTGAGCTGCTGAACTCCCTTCACATCTACCACCTGATGAGATCCTCTTTGTGCTGCATGTGGAGTAGAGCTCCAAACCTCTTGTCAACCAGTCACTGAGGAGGAAGCACCAGAAGTGTATTTCTGCTCTTCCTGCTCAAATGTGCCAGCCTGAGCCACGCTGAATCTTCTCTGCATGTCTGTCCAAGGACAGTGAGGGTGACACTCCTTTGCTTCACTAAGACAAAGAAAATGCTTAGTACTAAATTTCTAAGTTRAAGTTTACAAATAAGAACAAAATAATCTTGTGTTGATTCCATMATTTTCAACTCAATTGTTGGCATTCTTAAATCAATTAAAAAATGAAGTTTTAATATAGTAAGAATGACACCACTATACCAATAACAGAATCTRCCTACTTTATTGTCATGCAATGCAACATTTTCACTATACTCTCTTCCTTC